GCGAGGCGGGGGAGGGGGGCGCCTTCCCCAGCAGCCGAGACCAAGTTCAAATCGAAAGCAGTCAGTCGGCTGAGGCGGCCGGAGTGGTTAGGGCGCCTCCTCCTGGGCCCGCGGGCACCCAGCTTCGACGACTCCAGCCTCGTGCCTTGGAGCTAAGCCCGAGCAGCCTGGCTACCCGCTGGCCGCACCTCCGGCCCAATCTATGAAATGGGCACAGTGAAGTGGGCTCTGGGAGGCCTCTCTGGGACTGCATCCAAGATCAGGTAGATCGGGTTTTACCTGGGGAGGCATGATTCATTCATCCAACTACAACTGGGCCAGCACCTTTGCCAGGAACTGTGCTAGGAGCTGAAGACAGCTTCCAGGTCTTCGCCACCTTGGTGAGTGCGTCTCACCCATAACCAAAAACAGATCCCTCCAAAGTTTTTTTTGTTTGTTTTAATTTTTATTTATTGAGTGATTTGAGAGAGACATCGATTTGTTGTTCAATTTACTTATGCATTCATTGGTTGATTCTTGCATGTGCTCTGACAGGAATCCAACCCCTACAACCTTGGCATATGGGGGTGACACTCAAACCAGCTGAACTACCTGGCCATGGCTAAAAGTTTTGAAACTAAAGAAAGCTCATTCATAATAAACATTGTGAATGCACTATCTGCCACTGAATTGTACTTTTTTTAAAAAAACATGTCTTTATTGATTTCAGAGAGAGGAAGGGAGAGAGAGAGAGAGGAACATCAATGATGAGAGAGTCATTGATGGGCTGCCTCCTGCACACCCCCCATTGGGGATTGAATCTGCAACCCAGGCATGTGCCTTGACCCGGAATCAAACCGTGATCTCCTGGATCATAGGTTGATGCTCAACTTCTGAGCCACACAGGTTGGGCTGAATTGTACATTTTTAAATAGCCAATCATATATTATGTGAATTTCACCTCAATTTTTTAAAAAAAACACTGTCATGGAGAAGGTGACAGCTCTAGCTTTTCTGTATTTCCCAGGAGGGCAAGTGCAGCCCTGCCCTGATATGATCCTGCTCCTCAATCAAAGGATGGGTGAGGCTGGTGGTTTATTGCCCCTCCAGAGTCCTCCTGAGGCAAATCTTCCCAGCCTCTTCCTCTCCTCATTGCTGCAAGTAAGTCAACAGCCACCTATTCACCCCACCCCATGCCATCCCCAGCATCTCAAATGTGGCCCTCTTGAGGAAAGGGGTTGAGGGCTTCGCTCCCTGGGGCTGAGCCCCTGTAAGCACAGACCCAATCCCCATCCTGGACAGTCTGGGTCCCAAGGAAGAGGTTTTACTTCAGTTCCTTGGCCCTGGAGCCCAGGAGTTAACTGAGGAGACAGATGATAGACATCATTGTGGCAAAGACTTCCAGAGAGTCTCTTCTGTGCTTTTCTCCTCCCTCCCCAGTTTTGGAGCAGGATTCCAGAACCTGATTGCCAGTACTAGTCCCAAATCCTGTCTCCCAACCCTGCCCCTTTCACAGTCCCTCCTCAAAACAGGTTCGTTTCAATTCTGGAAGCCCTATGAGAGAAATAGAGACAGACAGAGCAAGAACTCTTCCTCCAAACCAAGGCAGATTGGGCACTAGAAAGAGTGACAATGACAGTGGACCCTGGTGGGAGGAGGGAGGCTCAAAGACAGAGTCTCATTGTACATGGAGGGGAAGGAGGGCCATAGGCCCTGTCCTGTGATACTGACTGTGCCCAGCCACGGGACATGGGGGAGAGACGCTCACCCCCTTAGGACAGCTGAGACCCAGAGTTCCTGCTAAGTCCCAGAAGGGCAGGAGCAGACAAAAGACAAATAGAACTTGCAGACCCACAAGAGAAGGAAAAGCAGTTCAGTTCCTCTAACCCCCGCTCTAGACTACAACAGGGCCACAGAACAGAAATGGCAATGATGGGAGAGGCAGGAGCCCTTAACCGGATTCCTGAATGCCCAGCCCAAGAAGGCCTCATGTCTCAGTTAATGCTTCCAGCAGAAAAGTAATAAAGCAGCATGGCAAGGCCCACGGGGGACACCCTTGGTAGGAGTCTTGCATACCACCCTAAAATGCGACAAAGGTTTCGGGTTTTCCATGTGCCAAGGCTTGTTCCTGAGACCGGAATGGGACAATGAATGGGAGAAGGGGAAATAAAGCAAAACAGGGAGGTTCCAACTTTCTTCTCCAAACATCCACTCTCCACCCCTCCAACAACTTGAGGCACAAATGGGAGACCCTCAGTCAGAGGGTTGCCCCAGGAGAAAAGGGCCAAAGGCCAAATGCAAAAGGAGAAAGCACCTCACAGATGTAGGGATACCGAAGGGGTCTTTATTGCCTACCAGCCACCATCAGTGTCCCAGCCACATGCTGGGCTCTCCAGGACTCTCCAACCAACTCTGAGGACCTGTGAAATGCAGCCACAGTTCCGCTCTCTCCTTCTAGGGAACCAAGGTACTTCCCGGGCCGACAGTGTGGCAGAGGGGCCTCAGAGTGAGGGGCCAGAGGGCGGAGCAGCATTCCCTGTGGCGAAGGATGGGAGAGAGGGCGCCTCTGGACGCCCACCATGGAGGGATGTCTCGAAGAGGACGGGGGGAGAGGGGCTCCCTAAGAGGGGATGACACCAGAGGCAAAGAGCACGATCAGGAGGATGATGATGAAAACAATCACACAGATGAGGACAATCATCTTCACGTTCTTCCACCAGAACTTCCGAGCCACCTTCTGAGATGTCGTCTTGAAGTGCTCGGACTGTAGGGGATAAGGCAAAGGATTCAGTGCCTCCTCCCACGGGAGCAATAACACAAACACAGACCCATGTGCCACACGTCTAAATATATAAGTTGAGGTAAAAGACTGTTAAATAGAAAATGTCCTGTCCTCCTACGTTGACAAATATACCTTCATAACCATCTGGTGGGCCAAGTTTAAATTTAGAAAAACTTGGGCTCCCCTGGCCACCAGCCTGCCCCATTCTCTCCTTATCCCTGCACTGTCTGGCACATTGTGGGGACTTTTACACATACTCACACCCAGGGGTGTAACACTGGCACCAAAATCCACCCCTTGGGAAGGGCAGACACTGGGGCCAAGGGGAACAGGGTTCAGGATGGTACATTCCCCAGATTCCATGCTTCCTTGCCCCCCAGGGACTGCTGAAGTTGGAGGAGGAGCCAGGGCAATATGGTGGTTGGAAGTGAGGGCAAGTGCTTTCTCTCCAAACTGGAGTTGCAATAACTAAGTTTCACTGGGCCATGCTCCCCCAGGTTCAGTTGTGGGAAAAATGACTAAGTCCCAGGAAGACAAAGGGGCTATACCCAAGATTACACATAGCACTTAGAAAGCCAGTGTCTCCCCATGGACAAGGAACTTTAGGCTCCAGCCTTTGTTGAACTTGAGGGTTGCTCCCTTCCTGAGCACCTGGCTTTGGCCCATGGCTGGAGCAAGAGAAGACTGAGGTGTAGCCAGATGTGTGGGAGACATTATCCTAGCCTTCAGCTCACAGAGGACCCCACCAAGGAATTTCACTGAAGAGGCAGACTTCCCTCCTGTTCATTTTGCCCCCAACACCAACCCCCAAATTCCCAAAGATGCTCCCTCCCTCTCTTCCTCTCGTCCCCAGTGGGCTCCCCATCTCACTGTGGCTTCCAGATCCTCTGTCTTGTTGCGAAGATGGTCCAAGTTTTCTCCTCGGGCCAGGATCCGCTCCACATTCTGGGTCATAATATTCTTGACTCCCTCCACCTCACTCTGCAGGTTCCGCACTCGATCATTTCCTTCACCTCCACTGGCCTCCTCCTGAACAGCAACACAGGGGTTAATTAAGCCAAGTGGTAGAGGAACTGAGACTCAACATCAGAGGCCAGAGGAGGGGAAGGTCTAAGGTGGACTTTAGCTTTTTGTTATGCTTGAACTGTTTACAAAGAGAATGTTTGCAGGGTCTCGGGCCTCTGACAAGGAAAAGAAGCACGCCACTGAATTCCTCTCCACTACTTCCTTGCTCCTCAAAGAGGGTCAGAGAAGACAGCTGAGTTAGCATTGCACAATGGAAAACCCCACCATTTACCAATTCCCAGATCCCACAGGGTCCTCATTAAAAATGTCTGTGCTGGCCAGTAAAGAACACCCTCACCCGGCCGAACCCTCCCTCTTTCCCAGAAGGCGGCTGGAGAGCTCCTCTGGCAGGGGCCTCCTGGGCAGCCTAATTGCTGTGACCCAGAGCACCGGCAGCCAGGCTCCAAGTCCCTCACAAGGTCCCATGACAGAGAGCTGTTGGGCCACAAACTTCTGCTTCTCCCCCACCCCCCACTTAGCCCCATGTACAGGAACCAAACCATTGCCAGTTAAGCAGATATTAAATAAAAACAGCAGCCTGGGCGTTGGGGGAAATGGAAGGCAAGTTCTCCCTGCTTAATGCCTCATCCCCAGACTTCATGATAAGGTTTTTGAACGAAGACGGGGAAACGTTATTAAGCTCCTCCCTTCCCTGACCCACTGGATCTCCAGAAACAGGGCAGGGTGTGGGTCCACAGTAGATTATCACAGAGAACCAACTTCTGGCTCTTTTACAAACCCTTAGTTCTTCCTCATGTTTATAGAGAGGGGGGCCAATTCCTCGGACTCAGAGAGACAAATTCTTTGGGTTTCCCTGTAGGGATAAAGTGAAAGGCAGCCGGGAGGGCACCTGCTGCTGGGCTGGAATCTGCGCTGGGAACAGCAAAGGCGCTGCCCAGGAATGTCACACCA